GGGGGGGCAGCATTCATCGATCCCAGCTGACGTGATTTATGTGGGTGTGTTATCACCAGGACACAGAGCTGTTGGACCTGACCTTTGTGAAGGATGTCAGAACGGGAAGGAGCACCAAAACTCCCAAGGTACCGTTAGCTTTCTCCCCTCAGTCCTAGAGTCTCGGTTTGTCATCATGCATGTATGAGATGTGGGGTATTTCAGTCCTTTAGCCTCTCTGTGCCCTCACACTCCATGCTTCCTCCTTCAATGTAGCAGAAAAAAGGGATGTTTTATTCAGTTCTTCTTCAATGTTATCTTTGAATTGACCCCTTAGCTGACATTTTAGCTCGTGATACTCAGATTCCGCTAGTAAAAGCGATTTGTTTTATTTCTTTTAAACAAGTATAATGAAAGATGTAGAAACGGACAATTTGATTTATCAGTGAAGTTTAATAATTTCCTTTTACATCATGCAGAAATGAGGGTTTTATTAACTACATGAAGACCAATTTTCAGATTTTCATGTCAACAGTAATTTCACTCCATAAATAAATGATCTAACAGGAGGATTTTATTGATTATTGACATAGTCTGAAGGGTCTGCTTTGATGTAATCAAGATTTTTAAATATCTAGGTTTAATATTACACGATACATGCTTTAATCGCTTTTCCCAAATTATCTAAATATAAGTATGTTTGTTTTCAGTGGATAGATGATGTTTTAGTAAAGATTTAATGTTTCATTCAGTTTCTTCAGATAAGATGTTTAACTAGCCTTTCAGCAAGTTAATCATCACTTTATCAGAAGTCATTCTGACTATTAAAATAAAAATAGATGTATATAATCTGATCCAAACTACTTCAAACTACACCAAAAGCCTCCAGCACCAGTCGGTTTCATCTGAAAAATCCCATCCTGTCTCGTCCAATAGGAGGCCAAGCTGCGGGAGCTGCTGGACATCGGGAACCTCGTCGGGCGGCTGGAGAACCGCATGGTTACCGTGGTTACGGCCTCAGACCTCGTCAACGTCAACCAGCTCAACTTCATCGCCTC